TTGCTATGTTTACTGTACAGAGTGAAGTCCTTATAAAATGACAAGGATTAATGATTTTTCTTCAAAACGTTTTTCACTCTCCTATACGACTGTTTCTTCCCGTACGGCCAAAGTCTAGCCTCGTGTGTAAGTTACTTTTCTCACTGCTGAGACAAAATACTCAATGCCTGAAGTTAAGGGAGGGAAGGAGGATTATTTGGCTCACAGTCTGTAGAGGTTTCAGTGCATAATCATCTGGCTCCAAGGCAGGGTGACTGGCAGAAGGGAATAGTTCATGGCAGACAGACTGTAGCAAAACAAGAAGGGACCATAGTAGGATCTTTCCGCCCCTTTTATACTGTATCTAGGCTGCTTGGATTAGCGTGGTGCCAAATCTATCAGTGGACTGATTTAGTAACTATACACCCTAATCCCAGCATCACACACTCCAGATCCAGCCACCCCTGACAAAGCTCCACCTATGACTGCATGAAGCTTTTAGGGGACATCTAGAAACAAACCATAACACCTTGTGTGCTTTTAATCCTCCAGCATAGTCAAAGACATCACTAAAACTTGAGTGTGAAACAACGCCCCCATCCATTTGACTAGACCCCTGGGCTACTATGCTTTTTTCTAAATTAAACAACCCATAAAACTACAAGTGCAACTATTAATATCTGAAGAAAGAATAAATTAGAACTACTGGAATACTTCGAGGGTCCACGTTGTTACTGCGTTTGGCTATCATTTTAATGTCTGTAGGGGTTGCCATAACTTCTATAAATGAGGTACCAGGGCAAATTCCAAAAGCATCAAATATACAACTGATATTTTCCATGTGTTTTACACCATTTCTCAAAGTAGGAATGCTCTCAACATGTTTTATTCTCTTTTCAGGCTTTTTAATTTTCTTTTAACATAGTAACTTAAAACCATGCTGTTGGTCCCTAAACAAAAAAGAATCCAAAGATTCAAGCTTTTTTAAAATGTACGAGATACCACTCCAGGCTATGCACAGTTGATATACTGCTAAATTCTGCAGTAAAAACTTGTGTTCAATTTTCTTTCATACAGAAATTCTATACTTTTCTTCTTGCAGTAGCTATTATCATCCTGCAGTCATGCTGGGAAGCACTATTATAGATGGAAATAAAGACATGCAACATCCAGCCTGTCGGACTGGATTATAGTAAGTCTCTGGCTGACAGGAAGCAAAATAACAGATACTACAAAGCTGTAAGTATATTAAACACCCATAAATTGCCTATCTTGAATATAAGCTACTACTGTGAATTTTTGAGATAAAAATAAAATGGATAAATTAGAGCTTATCATTTCAAGTCTCATTTTTATGTTATTTCTCACAGAAATAGTCTCTAGGTTTCCAGAAAATTCTCTGGAATTCTTTAAATGGCTGTTGTAAATGTACCTGAGATACATGTACTGGCTTTTTATTCGACTGTTATAAATAGGTATGGCCCAATGAAAACTGCAGAGATAAAATTGTGTGCCAGGAAAGTACAACTGCAGAATTATTTTTTTTTCCCTAGAAACTGCAGTGGAGCCCTCCTGTGGCTAATTTAATCCAGCAAATTTTTCCTGCTCTAAGCAGGAAAGCATAGAGGCAGCAGCTTTACTGCAGCTGTAGCATGACAATGTGCTTTGTGTCTAAGAGCCCTGGAATAAACAATCCTATGACAAATATATATTTCTGAAGAAAGAGAAAATACTGCCTCAGGATAGAAGGAACAGAGTTTGCCTCTTTATTTTGCAGACAGCATCTACAGTCATTTGCAACAATTTTGTGGTGGTATTTTACCACAGGGAAAGGCATGGGATTTAGGAACTATGTTACCGGTGGGAAAATAGATGTATCTAATAAAAAGGAAAACTGTCTATTTCTATGACTCTAATTTCCCAAAATATTAAATGAAAAAGACTCTTCTATTTAGCTAGAAATAATTTATTTGGCAGGTCTCCATTTATCCAAGATACTGCTCAAAACCAAGAAAGAACAGAAAAAAACACAGCTTTAAACTCAACTTATTTAATTGAGGGTTGCTCCTTGTTAAGGACCAGAGAAGGTTTTGGTTTGGTTTGGTTTGGTTTTTGTTTTTTCATATCTTTTCTGGTGAGGAGCATTTGAGGAACTGTACAAACATCTGACAGTCTTGGCCCAGGGGCTACTGATATTTTCTTATGTCTCTTGGTTCAAAGCTCCCATGGACCACCTTGATAGTGTCCTGGGTTCATCACTGCCTGTTGACCCCTCTTTCCATACACTGACGTCAGTGCAAATGCCACCCTGTCTCCTGCCCTGACGTAACCTTTCAAAAAATGCAGGAACTGAATAATTTTTAAATTTTCTCCTCTGTTTTTAAGAAAGAGCTTCTAATAGTCTGCTTGGAGTGAAATGCTACAAATTCTAGACAGGATAGTGCACAGTGGCTAAAAATTTTAGGGCCACATAGAACTCCTAGTGATCTATCCATAGTGCCTCACACAAAAGTGACCCTCAGTAAATATTTGGTAAATGATGGCTGGATGCATAGATTGACGGGTGAAAATACGCTGATCAGTTTTAGACATTCATTTGATTCTTAACTTTTAAGTAATACAGTCAGTTGTCAATGGTCATTGTGACATATTTTGTTCTAAATTCAAAAGCCTTCTTTACAAATAATTTGGCAATATGTATCAGGACACTTAAAGTTTCTTTCTTTCTTTGCGTCCAGTAACCCTTTGAGAACTCAAATTAAGATAATGTTCTAAAATATTTTTAAAGCTTAACATATAAAGATTTTGACCGTAGTTATTTATAGCAAATGAACAATTGTGAAAATGTGTCATGAAGACATAGGTACCTTATCAAAATATCTGTCAATGATATATTTGTGTAGTCATTGAAATATTGATGTAGAATGTATCAATATTTTTATAAAGCTTTATTTTTAAAAGCCAAATATAAATTCTTATGCATAGTATTATCTCAGTTATGTAAAAAATGTATAAAAATGTGTAGAAAATACGTATTCGTGTTCAACCAAATAATAGGTAAGGTTGCTTCAGGGTGGTGGGATGTAGTAATTAAATGAGGAGTTTACTAGTTTAACTTCTAGTTTAACATAAACTAGTAAACTTCTCATTTCTCCATACTATCAAACTGTTCTAAAATTAATATGTAACATATTATTCAGAAATTTAAAAAACTTGGAGAGTGAGGTGAGAGACCTTGTCAAGAAATATCACTCTGCAGTAATTTCTAGTTGGATCCTTCTAGCGAAACTGCTCCCCGAGCTATCTCCTTTCCTCCGCAGTTTTCCCAGTTGTTGATCTTGGCGGCCGCTTTTGATCCTCCCTCTATCATAAACTAGTAAACTCCTTGTATTAACTAAACTTGGTCCCCAACACACTGTCCTTTCTTATATCATTTGTTATTTCCCAGCAATAACACTATGTATCTACCTGGATTTTAGGACTGGCTATCTCTGTGATATTTAAAGAGTTAAATGATTACAGCAGTTCTTTGGGGGAGACTGATCTGGAACCATGGGTCTAGAAGTTTGGAATGTGATAAATATAATTCTTACATCTCTTTTACATGATTAGCAGGAATATTAACTATGCCACCTTCATTGACCTCTTCAGTCTAATCTAATTTCCTAACATCTGTCTTTCCAATGCCTAATAGTTCTGATACATAATTGACCCAATAACAAATAAATAAATGACTGCATGGGTGAAGGATGAATCAGGACCTATTTGCTGTCGGTGATCTCTATTCAATTAATACTGCCTTTATTGAGCACTCGGTACATGCTAGGTTGTGCCTGGAGTTAGACTACACAAGAAATTCTGGTAAGAAAAAAACACAGTAGTGAATTGGTTCTACTTTTCATCCAGTGTGAATACGAAGACTGAGGAACATCTGGAACATGTTTTACTATATGGCTACCATACAGAGGAACATCTTTTAAAGATGTGTTTGGGTCATCCGGCTAGTGCTAACCAAAGGTACATAGTCCCAGGACTGCCGATCTGGATTAAGCATGGTGGATGGAAAAGTAGGGCCACTGTTTACTTGAGTGATTTTTTCAGGGTTAAGTAGTCCCCGATAGGTCAAATTATGGTGTCAAAGGTTAATGCTATAGCTCATTTGCAGCTGCTCTGTATAGTAGCCACCTGGGATCCGCTACAGTCGAAGCTTCTGCTGATTTTTAATCTGGAAATTTATACAAAGGTTCTGCCTGCCAAACACTTCCTTTTCTCTGGATTTAACAGTCACCTGTATCCCTTAATTAAACCCCGCACTATCAAAAGCCTCTAGAGTCGGGCGTGGTGGCACACGCCTGTAATCCCAGCACTCGGGAGGCTGAGGCAGGAGGATCATTGTGAATTCGCAACTAGCCTGGGCTACAAAGTGAGCTCAAGACCACCCTGAACTGCAGAGCGAGACCCTGTCCAAAAAAAACGAGGCACAGGACCTTCCCACGATGTCTGTGATGGAGCATTGCCTCTGAAACGTCGATGTGCAGAGGAATTTTAATCTTACTAAAATGCAGTTTCGGAGTTGATAAGTGTGAGTAGAGCCTAAGATTCCGCCTTCTTAACAGATCCCTCAAGGTGTAGGTGTTGCTGGTTCAGGGACTACACCGCACGAACCACGAAGCGGGCGGGATTTACTTCTGAGAGATAACAGTTTGTTTGAATCAATGTTAGGTAATAAAGTACATATAGGAAGGGCGGGTGACGGATTTCGGCCTGAGGCAAGGGCGGCGCCACACTTTCAACTTTAGCAACTGTGAACGCCTGAGGAGGAACGCCGAGCACCCTCAGCTCGCCCAGCTCTGTCCTCCGGGGTGTCCCGAGCGGTGCTCTAGGAGCGAGCGAGCCACGCGCTGATTGGCCCAACCCAGCGCCAAGGGGCCGTGGGCGGAGCCTCGCGGGCGGGCAGGGGCGGAGCTTTTCCTGTATTTGAGCGCGGCCGCGTGGGCACGGGCATTCGGATTGGTGGCTTCTGAACCCGGAAGTGCTCGCCCTAGGTCGGAAGCTGCGAGAACGCGAGGCTCCGGGGCGCTACAGCTGCAGCATGGTCGGCGGCGGCGGGAGGCGCAGGCCCCGCGGGGAGGGGCAGCAGGTATCGCCGGCGAGGCTGCGCGGGCCGCGCGGGGCGGTCATCGGCGGGGCTCCGGGCCGCGCTTTTCATTCACGCAGGAATCCCCGAGCGCCGGCTGTGTGGCCGGAGCAGCGCTCTGCTGCAGGGCCCGTGTCGGGCCGTTTCCCGCAGTGCTGGAGCTGGGGCCTGGAAGGTGGCGCCTTTGCATCTGCTCGGCACTTCTCTCGCCGCGGCCCCCGGCGAAGCACAGGGAGGTCATTTTGCCAGTCACGTCGATGTGAAACCGAGTAACTGCCGGGATTCGAGGTGTAGACCCCCAGCGTGGGGAGGCGGGCCCTAGAGAACACGCTTTTCACTGTAGCGGGTTTCGCCTGGGATGGTGAGGCTGGTGTGTAGAAAGCGTGGAACCACGGAAAGAGGGTTTACCAAGGCCGAGGGGTGTTAAGTCGTCTACGGCAAATTTTGTTTGAAATGGTTCAGGAGGAGAAAGCAATCCCTTGACGTAAAAGTGCAAAGAGTATTTGGGGGCCCGAAGGAGTGTGTAGGCTGGGAGATGGGAAAGTGAGAGGGACCCGATCTCCAGGCTACCGCAGAAAGGAGGGAGTTGCGCAGAAAGTGTGCGTTTTCTCTTCGGCTTTTTTACGTGTTCAAGAATTCCAGAAGCACCGCAGTACTTACTAATATCGGGAATTAAGCAGGAAAGAAGTGTCATTGTAATAAAGTGCAAAAATCATTCTAGCAGTATTTAGAAAGCTTAATTAACTGCTAGAGGACCATGGTTGTAGGTGTTCTTCATATTAAGTAATGCTTTCTAGGAACACCAGGGTGAAATGTAGTCATTGAAGGGATCAGCTGTCTCTAATTCTGGTTTTTAGAGTTTGGGAGAAGCTGAACTACTGTAGCGTGTGAACTAAGGCAAAGGTGCAAAGTACCCCTCTTTGAAGGCACAGCGAGGAACTGCCCTGGCGAAGTGCTATGCTTCATCAGAAATAAAATCCCCAAAGGGAAAATGATCCTAATAAAAACTATCAATGGTTAATAGTAATAACCAGCAGTGAGATGCTAGGACTGTTCTTTTTATTTTTAAATATAATCTTGCCGGCGTAATAACCCCACAATACAGGTACATGTGTCTCTATTGGGGTAAGACAACAAAACACAGAGATTAAGTAACCTACCCAAGGTAGAACTGCCTTTCAGCAGGGCACATTAAGCATCTCTGACATCTTCAAGTGTAAACCAGTCATTGAAAGTCTAACCAAAGACAGTTACAAAAGCAATAACAAATACAGTTCTGTATTTCTGGTTGAGGAAATAGCATGAAGAAATAGTTAAGAATTTGTGTTCCAGAGCTGGACCTAGTGTCCCACACCTATAATCGCAGCACTTGGGAGGCCAGCCTGAACTGTATAGTGAGACCCTGTCTTAAAAAGACAAAAAAAAAAATAAAAATAAATTTGGCTCCAGAGCACAAATT